GGCCGTGCTGCGGGACGGCCCTTCTGTGGCGCCGTGACGTTTCCAGGGCTGTTTTACAAAGAGTTCAGAACTGAGCTAGTTTTGCGTGCCGTTATCGCTCGCTGCCAGCGGTGTCTGCTCACGGTTGCAAAAAGCCCTGAGCGTCTGCTGTCACGTTTTTGGAGGGCGTGCTTTTCTGTCGTTTCATTCCCCTTTCCCTATCTCCGACACAGCTGTCGTGCCCGAACTCTTTCATGGTAAGTTGTTTGCATTAAATAACGCCGCTTCAGTTGTAAGGCTTCACGTGCTTGCTCTGTTACCTTACTGGTTGCGTTGTGCTTGAGAATCGTCGTTTCTGCGGCGCTCACTGCGGTGCGTGAGCATCTTGATGCTGCTTTAGTGAGACTTCTAACGCATCAGTAGTGAGGAAAGCAACTGTAGTAATACGGGTTTCCTTCACAGCCCAGTCAGGTTGCAAAATGCACAATATTGTCCATTGCTGTTGCTCTGAAATCATGGTCTCTACAGGTCCTGCTGTGTTCCGTAGCTGAAATTGTGAAACCAAAGTTTTCCAGTGTCTTTTTAATGAAGGGCTGGTAGAGGATGTGCTGATAAGTAGCTGTCTTCTATGTCCAGTTGCAAGTTGTATTAAAATAATGTGAGGAAGAGGAACGTGTACTCAAAGGAGTGTTCTTCACCAGCGTTTGGAGCCTGTGGGGTGAAACTTCATGTTCAGTGGAGAGCTGAATTGAGTAGTATTTTGCTCATACAAAGCTCTTGGTTGGGACATCTACTTACGGTTAACTTGGGGGAACAGGACTGTAACTGCCAAACAGGGTTCTTAGCTGCTTCTTATTGTTAATTCTTGTAAAGTGTATGACATTATGCATGTTGGGACAGGTCTACTTAAATTGCGAGAAACAATGGAGGGAAGAGAAGGTTGTGTAATCTATAGCGTGGTGTGCTGGGATCAGTTAAGCAGGAACACTGAAAGAATCTAATCTGCTAACAGACCTGAGCGGAGGCTGCCAAAGGGCAGGTTGCTTTTTAGCTGGACATTACCAAGACTGTCAGAGGTGTTTGACAGGCTGCTGTGAGTGAAATGTTGCATTCACGTGTGATTATTAGCAGGAGACTAACATGGAGGGAGACTGTTTGGGTGGAAGTGTCAGACAATTGGGTTTTGAAAAGACTGGTTTGAGTTGAAGAGTATAAATATGTACCACAGGGATCTACAACCAGTTTAAATTTAGGCATGTCACTAGTAATCCAAGGTATAGATAAGCAAAAATGGAGTGACAGTGGAAGAATACTTCCTTTCCATAGTTCTTGGGTTACAATTTGCTTGCAGAGTTATCTCTTGATCTGGATGATAAGCTCTAAAAGCAAATTGCTAGCTAAACGATGATAAAGAAGGCTTTCAGCCTACTTTAGATATGTTTAGAAAAGAGTATTTCTTCAGTGCTTCTGTATTTCCTGAGTGTTTCACTTTGTGAGCCCTGACTGCCGGTTGCACCTATACTGTCTTGCCTCTGGGATGACTGATAAAATTGTGTAGTTTCTTGTATAATAGTGAATCCTTGCAGCACATCATTGTGGTAAGTTTTTGGTAGAACCTGTGGTTTTGTTCACTGCTTGTGGAGGTTCAGCTTCATTTAAAGTAATTGTTTTCTGAATAACCATAGCAGGGATAAATAAACATGCCACATGCCAAGAGTTGCAGAATGTGGTGCTTTAGCTATCTTATAGTAAGTATTTTCAGATGGCTTGTAATCGACTCCTAATTCCTTTGCACATCTCAATGCTTTGACTTACTGATGAATAACACTGTAGGAGGGAGTTGTGAGTAGGGCATATATGTTTGCAGTCTGAACACTTTTGGTGTCCAGCAAGTTTTGTTTCCTTAGGCAAGTGGACAGGAGCAAACTGTGAGAAAGATTTAAATAACAGTACAGTACCTCCAGTTGGGCCTTCTTGTTTTTCACTGAGAGCCAAAGCATGCCTGCTAAGTTGGTAATTCAAGTCCTGGAAAAACATTATCATTTTAATCAGGGTTGCTGGCAGCTAGCATTTTGTTGTTGTTGAGATTTCCTTCTTCCCCCTACTGTGCCCCCCTCCCAAATTTCCTTATTTGGAAAAATCACTAGCAGTAACAAGTCAGTGAATGTCAATTTATTGATGCTTATCTGTGTACACTGTGTAACTGAAATACAGTTTCTGAGGTTCTTTTTTGAGGTTCTGTTGTCAGACATGACATTATTTGTGACCTTTCCAAATTGTCAGTCACTTACTCAGAAACACATTTTACTCTAAAAGAATGTAAACCCCCTAACTTTATATAATGCATGTATTGAGAAATTGATTCGCCACAATGTTGTCTGAGTAGAGATCTGTGGGTAGGATCCATTCCGCTTCCATTTTGTCCTGTGTTTTTTCCTGGTAGAGATATGGGACCTGTAGAGGTTGGGCCAAAAACTGCTGCTGTAAAAGCTAAATGTCACCGTGTGGACCAAGCTCGACGCAAAAGGAGAGTGGCTGCAGCCAGCATTAAGTCTATACAAGAGAAAGAGTTGGGCTTGAAGGCATGACCCTGCCCGCTACCTGGTGCACAGCAGCATTTTGCTGTGCCCACCAATGTAGCATGCTCAGGGGATTCTGGAATTGGATTCTGGCCCTGCAGCTGCCATCACTGAACAATCCTGCCCCAGTCTTCTACTTTGAAGGGTGCAAATGCACACAAGTCACTTCTGTTCAAATCTCAGTGGAGCTGTCTATTTCTATGTAATTTTCCTGTTCTCTTACAGTGGGATTTGATTGAGAGGCATTGCTTGAGATACGTTCTAATGTGCAAAATTGTGTATTAGCACAGGTGAATGCTGCATCTTTTCTTCTAACAAAAGTTGTCTATCTGATATACGTAGTTCAGCTTTACTAAGTTAACAAGAGAGAAGGTAGCGGCTATCCATTCTTACTCCTTTAAACGTTCTCCATTTTGTAGCTTTTCCTTAGTTCTCCCTATTCCACATTGTGGATTCCATTCACATTTTGCTTTCCTTCCTAGATGCTGTATTGGATTTTTTGTTGTTATGTCTTTCCTGTGCTGGATGGCCTGAAAACTCAGCTTCCTCCTATTACTTCTCATGTTTGCTATTGTTTGCAGCTTCTTGCTTCTGAACGTAAAGTTAGTAAAGAAGTTGGAAGCACTCATTTCTGTGGTGAAGTTGTCCTTTAACTTCTGTCTAACCGTTGTTGAAATTTGTTGATGACTTTTATATACCCTTTTTTTGTTGTTTAGGAATGGTATCTAACTGGACGAAAATTCCACCACCACTTTTCAGAAAAGTTGTCATTGTGCTGATAGATGCTTTGAGAGATGACTTTGTGTTTGGATCCAAAGGTAAACAGTTCATGCCGTATACTACACAAGTTGTTGAAAAAGGGACATCCTACAGTTTCATTGCTGAAGCAAAGCCACCCACTGTAACTATGCCTCGAATTAAGGTAAGTGGGTTTTTTCTACTTAGGGTTGCGTCAGTTGAGGAAGTTTTGAAGGCTGTGTTGTTTCATGTGCTCAGAGTTGTCAGGGATCGAAGGAAAGTGGAGAGGCTGAGTTAGAGGAGGAGGTGGCAGCTTCCACTTAAGTCCCTTTGCCTTGTTTCGTTCCTTTATTTGGCAGCTCTGTGGTGGGAAGGTCTGTGAGAATCAGTTAAGGGTAGTTAAGGTCCTAGTGCAGGCTTAAGTGATTGACATAATCTTTTCGTTTATAATCACAGGAAGGCACAAGCCTGTCAGTTGTCAAATTTTCCAGTTGCCTTCTATCCAAGAACATTTTTATTAGCATTTCTCTGTGTTCATGTAACTTCTTACAGGAAATCCAGTTTAGTGTAGATTTGTTTTGTCATAGGGATGTTTTTGCAGAGCTTAAGAAGAAAATTATGCCAAGTTCCAGATAATAAAAAGGTGACTTGTGTCTGTGTCATCAAAACACTTGATCATCCAGGTTTCTCAGTGATGGATCTGAGTGACTTTTCTCACATTGAAGAGGCCAAGAGAACGAGCTTTGGTAGGTTGGATAGAAGGCCGGTGAAGGGGAGATAGTCTGGTAACTCTTGACAGGTAGACTTCATTGAATTTTCCAAGAGATTCTTAATTACTGTTTTGAATGTGCTACCATTGTTATTGTTGTGTTAAGTCAGTTTATTTAGGCCTTCTAGAACATCTTTTTGGTGATATAATGACTAGTAAATGAAGCAAATTTCAGCTGGCATAGAAAGTAGTTTTGCTGTGCACTAACTACGAAAATATTATTTTCACCTTTCTGTAAAGTGGTTATTATCTCTGACATCAGCTAGGACTGTGTTGTGGCAGGTGATGATCACATCACCTGTGTGGCATGGCAGCTCGCATGTTATTTTCCTTTATTATGTTTCTTTATTGAAAGTATAATTTCTCTACCCTCTGCTTCATTGCTTCCTCTTACACTAATACTGTCTTTTGAGTACTGGAAACTTTTTGCTTTCTGTTAATATGCTTCTTTTCTTGTTTTATCTAGGCTTTGATGACAGGTAGCATTCCTGGTTTCATTGATGTTATTGTGAACCTCAATTCTCCAGCTCTGTTGGATGACAATCTGATATGGCAGGCAAAAACAGCTGGGAAAAGAATAATCTTTTATGGTGATGATACTTGGGTTAAATTGTTTCCAAAGCATTTTGTGGAATATGATGGAACAACATCCTTTTTTGTGTCAGACTTTACAGAGGTGAGAGGCTTTGTATAATCCCAAGTTAAATAATGTGAGTAAAACCACATAGTGGCAACTTGTAAGAATGAATGAGTAAAACTCCTTGCTCTGAAATACGAACCTGGCAATTAAACAGAAATTGGATTTGTATGTGTTTGCACAATGGGCAATGTGGAGCTAAACATTTCAGTCCCTCATGCATATGCCTTGGGAAGCGTTTGGATGATACAGTAACAGAGTGTTATTGTGTAACTTCCCTAAACACATGACATTGTCACAAAACTTGTGGTAGGAATTTAGACCGCTTGCTTTGTTTAAGAATTCCACCATTCATGTTCCCTGTTTGCTATCACATTTATATTTGTTTGTGCCATCTTTGAAAAGCCCATTAACATATAATCTTCATCTCTTAGAGGCATAATTTCTATAGTATTGTATCGCTTTTGTAGTTGCTATATGAGTAGTGTTTCAGTATGTTATCAAGGAGCATAGAGAGTAAATGAAACAAATTGTGAAAGTTCTTATTCTGGGCCTAGTAAAAGAGTAAATGGTTTGGCAATTTTAGTTCATATTTTGAACCTTTATGGTTTGTTAAACCTCAGGCCATTGATCTGCTGCTACTGACGTTAAGTATTTTATTGCCATGTTTAAGGAAGTTAGGTAGGTCTAATGTGAATTGGCAGACACTTATAACTGGTTACCCTAATAAGACTTGCAGAAGTTTCAACATGAGTGGAGAAATGCAAACATGCTGCTGGGTCTGCAATTATATGGCTCTCAAGCTCTTTATGCAGTCTTTATGCTTGCTGAATATAGTCCATTAAACAGAAAGCTTTTTATAGTTTTTTAGATAGTTATAACCAGAGTCAACAAGGTGATACTGCATGTGAAATTTTGTAAGGCTTTTTAATATCCACGGAGAAATACATGTAACTAAAAATAGATTGTCAGCCTAAGCAGGAGAACATGTGAGCTAGGCCCCAAATAGCACTTTTCAAGTAATTTTTCTTTCTTGCTATGTCATCAGTTCTTTTTCTCACAGCAAGTACAATCTCCTTGTGTGTGCACAGTAGCAAAAACTGAATTGAAAGAGCAGGAGTGGTTTTTTTCCCCGTGTGCTTCCAAGCACCAAAGAGAGGCTTTTCCCTGTACCTACTTCTTGTGAAGTGGTAAAGCAGGAGTGTGAAGGATGAAAGCGACTGAAAATATCTTGAAACAGTTTTTAAAGGTATCTGTGGAAGCATGGCAACCCATTTACTCTGTTTGTGTGTAATCTGATGCCTCATCCAGAAAAGAGTAAAATGGGGTGAAGAATCTGTTTTGTAAGAGAGATTTTTTTGACTGCCTGGCATTGAATTGATCAATCTGATTTTTTTACTTTTTTTTTTCCATGTTAACATTGTGAGCCACTGTAATTCTCATCAGCTTCTATAGAATTTTCATGTGTAGTGCGATCTGATTTTTCTGTGCTTTTTGCAAGAGGGAACTTATTTTTACCTTTTAATTGTTTCCCTTTTATTTCTGAGGTTGATGATAATGTTACTAGGCATTTGGATAGAGTGCTAAAGAGAGAAGACTGGGATCTCCTAATACTACATTACCTGGGGTTGGACCATATTGGACATATGACTGGGCCAAACAGCCCATTAGTGGGACCAAAACTTCGTGAAATGGATAACGTCCTGAAGAAGATTCATATTTCTCTTCTTTCAAAGGTCATCATAGCTCTTTGTTGGATCAATGTCTGTTAGTTGTGGACTAGCTTTAAAATGCTTGCTTGATTGGGGGTGGTAGCTTGTTTATTCCCATACCGTGTTCTTTCCCTTCACTGGCTGTTCCCCATTTAACAGTATAGTGTAGCATTTTTAAGGATTTACTGGCTGACCTTAGTAACATCTGTTAACAGCCTCTTCTGAACAGCTGTGGAACATAACTCCTCCTTGGTGTGCAGGAAGAGGAGAGGAATGCATCCCAAAATTCTCTTATCACTCATGAATTAAAATGGTGACTGGTGTGCTTTCTAGTACTGAAATTCAGCAGAAGGAATAATGTGCTTGTATAGCTAGTGGCTCTGATTTCTACAATTGTGAAGACATACCTTATTCTTAGATATTGAAAAGATTTAAATGGAAATGGTGGTTGTAAACAGCATTTTTCTTATGCTAAATGTAGCATGTAAATTACCAAAACTGAATCTGTTTTTAGATTTGGCAATATAGAATATCACTTATCTAAATAGTCTGGATGTTGAAATACCAAGCCTTAATTCCAAGTGGCCTGAAGCTTTTTTCTTGTTTGTTTTTTGGCAACTGCAACTGAGAATAGCTGTATTTTTAGACAAATGGATACTATTGTATGACAAGAGATGTTAAATCCTGCTTGTGGAAGTTACAATCTCATGAACATTGCAGTGGTTTTGCCACAGTTTGTTAGTATGTTTTGCTTTAGCCAACTGTATGCAAGCCTTTATCTCAGTTTTAGAATACAAAAATAATAAAAGTGCTTTACTTTTGGATACAACAGGTACTGGTAATAACTACAGATGATGAAAAGCTGCTTTGTTATGGGCTGACTATTTTCTGCTGTCTTCGATTTGTTAACTCAAAATTGTTGGACAGTCCTCACATTTATGTTTCTCTTTCTTCAGAGAAACAAACATCATTTGACATCAGTCATGTCAGATATCTACCCCAAAAGCACTTGAGAGGCTAGAGACTATTAGAAATAGCATTATCTTTTTGAATTAATTTTCTATTATATTAATATTTATAATATAAATAATTTAGCATTTGTATTATGTTAAAAACTCAATGAAGCTGAAGAAACAGAGGAGGGAATACTTATCTGTTAATGCTACTGCTCCTGGACTCCTGATTTTCTTCCTACAGTACGATGACCTTTATTTAATCCTTCAGTCAGTTTTTTGTGACTCTGTAAATGAGGGGAATTTTTTAAAGCTTTTTTTGTGGTTTTTGTAACATCCTGACAAGTATGTTAGATACATATGTGTGCCTTAACTGTTAAAAATTAGTATTACTGCACAACACTTAGTTGCAGAAATCTCTTGTAATCTGCCCCAGGTATTGTGAGCCAATTTAAAAAAATGGAATTTATTTTGAGAAATACTCATATGAGAAAATGGTAAACACAGTGAAGCATTTTGTTTGTCCAGTAACTTACAGTTATTTCTGTGACTTGCAGGAAGAAGCTTCTTTGCCCAATTTGCTAGTTGTTTGTGGGGATCATGGGATGTCTGAAACAGGTAGTCATGGTGGTTCTTCGGAAGGAGAAGTGCGCACACCACTGCTGTTCATCAGCTCTGCTTTTGAAAAGAGAAGTGGTAAGGATCAAAGAAGCATGACCTTTTTTATAACACATTGAAAACTGGTTTGGTTTGTCCTACACCTATCTGGCAAGGCCCATTCTGTGTGACCTAAAGCTCTGGTTTTAGTCAGTGTTTGCATCTGTGTCATGGTGAAATTGTGACTTAAGCTTTGTAACCACTGAGAGAATTGCGTATTTCTCAAATTACAACCTTTTGCAGCACTGTCCTACTTGAGAGCTAATGAGATCTGTTGTCAGGATCCTGGGATACTGGTAAATGTATAGAAGTAAAATGCTATTTGAAGTGAGTTTTAAGTTTTGTCTTTCTTGGCCAGAATATTTCCCTGGCCTCCATTCTTCTGTCTCAGACAGCCAGGATAGAGGAATGAATGACAATTTCTTTTACTGAGAGTAACAGGAAAGAGCAAGAATTGCTCTTGTGGAAGGGTAAGAGATGACAGCAGTGAAAACATCATTACTGATTGCTAAATGCTAAGGAAAGAATATGGAGCATGAGTGTATTTACTGTTTTGGCCAGGTAGTTAATTTTAAATCATTGATGTGAGTTTATCTGTTTCTGAAACTCATTTTCTACTTGTATCATATAGCTTGAAGTAAGAGGCAAGATGGGAATGGCGTCATAGAGAATCTTTAGTCTAATTTACAGAGTCTTGCTTAAATAAACTCCTTGACTGAGTGAATCGGTGAAATGTAGTTATAGCAGAAGTGAATATTTTCTTCAAAATAATACTTTCCTCTGCCTTTCATTCTGTCTCTTGCTCATTTCCATCCAATTTCCTTGCTTTTAAAGCCTGTTTGCAGAACCTTGCCTTGTTTATCTTGCTGGAGGTTCCTGCAGCACAGTGGAAGTACATTTATCTGTCTGTCATTTATAAAGCTGTTATCCAGCTGCAATAGACAGCATTGCTTAAGGAGTCGTTGAACTCTTTTCAGGTATAAAACCAAAACAAAGTCAAGAGCTGATCAAAGCTCTCAGGTAAGTTTTTGCTCTATACGTTTTACTGGTAAGTGTTGGCAACCAGACCACATGAGTGTAGATACTGTAAATACAATCTCTTGTTTATTGAGATTAGTTTCTGTTACATTTACACTGAATGTGCAGTTTTTACAATACAGTGAAATATATCTATTCACCTATGTTTTGGGATCAAATTTGTGATTTCTAATGATGTCCACGTAAATATCCAGCAACTTGCTTCTCATTGCTACAGCAATCAGAATTCTATGACTGCTCCTTATGATCCTACTGTAAACAAAATGTACTGTGGTTAATTTGGTAGGCCTCAAAATAGTAATCCTGTGGGCTTTTGCATTTAGTATGCTGTCAGTATATTACTTGTGTAGCCTTCTATAGAGATGTGTCATCCACGATTGGCTAAATGCATTTGGTAGTTTGGCTTTTTTTAACTAGGTAAGAACTTGCCTTTAAAGATGAAGTCTGAAAATTGCTGACATACAGGCACTCATGCAAAGAGGCTTTAGGGATTATAGATGGCATTCTGTACAAGTATGAGATTAATCAGAGCTAGAAGAGAAATGAGAGAAGTTCTAATGCTCTTAAAGGGAGTCTTGAGACTAATAAACGCTGTATGTAGAATTCTTTCTGTACTGTACTTAAGTCAAAACACTCAATGCCTGGAGTTACAAAGACAACGAAATAAAAGCATAATAGAAAAACACTGATATGTAACTAGCAAAGCACACAAAGAAACAACTGGCAAGACAATCTTAAAAAAAAAGGTTACTTACATTAGTAAGTAAATCATTCATGCGTGTAGATGTTTGTGGGACTGAAGGCAAATCCTGATAACTGCAGTGAAGTAATGGGATCCTGCACAGAACCCTTTAAAAATCACTGGGTTTGCCTGCATGGAGCCATGGATTTGGGCCTCAACATTCTTTACTTGACCTCTAATACTGTTTGCCTAGCAACCTGATATTAATAAATCTTGCGCTATTGTCATTATATCAAGAAGCTTCTGGAATGCTGTCAGTATTATTTTAGATTCTCATTCTTCATTCATCCATTAAATTAGTCTACTGTAGTGTTTTCTATTCTTATTAATGTAAAAGTTATCAAACCCTCTTAGGATGTAGGCTGCAACTTGATATTAAGGTGATCTCCTGGACCACCTCTTTTCTTTCTTGTACTTGTGTAACATGTTGTATTTACAGTAGTTGCTAGCATTGAAGAGTGATACTTGCTGAGAATTTAATAAATTTTGGTTTTACAACCGCAGAAGACAGCAGCTGAGAAAGATCACTCAGCTCTCTGTAGATCACTTGAAATAGCTGATCTAACAGCAATGAAAAAATTCTTAAAACTAACAAGATGCCAGCTGTCTTTGGAGAAATAGAATGGGTCTGTTATTGAAATACTTTTTCCTCTCTTTCCCCCTTTCTTCCCCCCCCCCCCCCCCTTTTTTTTTTTAAGCACACTGGCAGTAGGGCTTGGTCTACCAATTTCAAGAAACAGTGTTGGGAACCTTATATTGCCAGTTGTGGGAGGCAAGACAATGAGGGAACAACTACGTTTTGTGCACTTGAATGGGTTCCAGCTTAGCAGACTGCTGCAAGAGAATACACCTGCATACGAAAAAGGTAAATAATCCAAAAAAAGAAGTTACTTATACGAAAGGAGATTGTTTGTAACACAGTTTGGGCTTTTAGGTTCAAGAGTATAGTGTGGCACTGCAAATTAGCCATTCAGTTCAGAGAAATGATACTGAGTTCAGTTTTTAATGCAATCTTCTCTGGCACACTGCCTCTGAATGGAGTTTTTTTTAATGACCAGTACTACTCCTAGTAGGCAAAAGAGGAGAAATAATGATGAAAGAGTAAGATTAAAGTAAAACTGCTTGTGTAGTTAAATCTCAGTGGTTTCATATCTGCTGTTTGTGAGCTATCCTTTATAGGGCACTGATTCTGAGCTATTTGGAGGAATAGCACAATGGAGTGAATTTTCTAGTTTAAATAAGTAAAGCTGGGAAATAATTTAGGGTAAATTATCTTTTTATTTCATTCTTACGCATGAATTTATTTGGAATGAGAACCTAGAGAACTGCAAAATTGCTTATTAAAATACACGTAGGTGTGCATATGTATGTGTGAGTGTGTATTTGGAGGAAAGAATAAAAAACAAAAAAATTATAAATAAAAAAAATAAAAATATGTGGAGAAAATAAAAACTAGCAAAATGTAATATTTCGTTAGGAAGCATGACAGAAACTGCAATATAAGTAAGCAAGTTAATATGATAATTATGTGGAAAAAATTGAGTCAGAGGATGAAGGAGAATATTTTACCATGGACATTAGAAGATGTTGTGTTAAAGTCACTGTGAAGCTTGAAGTCCTTGTCGCTTGATTTATAATCTGTTGAATCATTAAAATAACTGGGTGAGAATGCAAAGCTGTGTTACAGCTATGAATAATTAAAGTGGATAACAATGTAAAGTTTAGCAAGATGATCATTGTAGGTCAATAATTAATTATCTTTTGACATCACAGCTTCTAATCATAACTAAACTCTGTCCAGGAGTCTAACAAAACAAATGCCACTTATGATAGCAACATGTCAATAGCAGGACCCATGCTCCATATATTCTGATATTTTTTTCTGCACAGATTTCCTTGCTTAACCCATTTGTATCAAGTGAGGAAATTTGCCCTGTTGGTGGAATTCAGGTTATGGCTGTGTTACTGAAAATTCCAACACAAAGCTCCATCTGACAGTATTTCTGCAAGCACTGGCGAAACAGACTGAAGTTTCTACCAGCTTCTAGTTTGTATCTTCACTTTCATTTTATTTTTGACTGGGAACAGCTTAATTTCAACTTCTAGCTTTCATCTGAGAAATGAAATCAAAATTGTTGAGGATGAACTGTAAAAAATTTTTATGCTACTTGCTTGTGACTGCAAACTGCTGTTAGAGGTACTACCCTACTGGAAGGGGGCTGGAGTGGGCAAAGCATCCATGACAAGCTTCTCTCCTTCTAGTAGTGGAGAGTCTCAGTAACATGGAACTAGGTCCAAGTCATGGTAGCTTTTTTTACAGAGTCTTAAGGAGAATTCTCCCTGTTGTTCTAAACTTCTTAGAGGGTCTTTTTTTTCTTAGAGTGTTCTGGATGTGCAAGGATGTAGCTTAACGCTTTGGTCAGGACGATTAAGATTGGAAAAGAGATGTGCTGTTTGTTTAGTGTTGTTCAATTGGTATGTATGCTTCAGGCTCTAGAAATACTGAAGAAAATGTCGCTAACTCAGTGGCTAATGTTGCATGTAGTTCAAAAGCATGCATGAATTTGCCCTTTATTTTGGGTGGCTTCTAGGTGAAGATAAATACAGTCCCACCTATCCCACTGCAGACACATACACATGTATGCGTATCTACTGTGATTCCTATAGGAAAGAGATTATCTATCAAAGAAGTCATTGTATAGAGTAATCAGATTCATCTTCAAGAAAGATGCCCATTTTTAAAAGGGGTAAAAAGGAGGACCCTGGGAACTACTGACCAGTCAGCCTCACCTCTGTGCCCAGTAAGATCATGGAACAGATCCTTCTTGAAGACATGTCAAAATACATGGAAGACAGGGAGGTGATTAGAGACAGCCAACACAGTTTCACCAAGGGCAAACTGTGCCTGACTAATCTAATGACTTTCTGCAATGGAGTAGCTGCATCAGTGGAGAAGAGAAAAGCTATAGATGTCATCTGTCATAGATTTCTGTAAGGCCTTTGATATGGCCTCCCCCAACATTCTTACTGCTGTATTAGAGAGATATGGGTTTGACAAATGGACTCTTAGATGAATAAGAAATTGGCTGGATGGCCATGTCAATGGTTCAATGTTCAAGTGGAAACCAGTAACAAGAGGTGTGAAGGAAGTCCCTGCACATGGTGGTGGGGGTGGACTAGATGATCTCTAAAGGTACCTTCCCTTCCAACCCGAACCATTGTATGATTCTATGATTGTAAGTTGGGAGGGTGAGGAGGG